TCCGTCTTAGTGGTTTTATCGATTTTACTCCTATTACGCGCCCGTAGTTAATAGGCGCTATATAATAGCTATTATAGCGCTTGTTATAACTATATAATTATAGTCATCCGCCTAGATAAAGAAAGATCCCTTTAGAAAGGCTTTGATAAATAGGCCGATAAGAGAGTGATTTTGCTTAAGAGGTTATCGCTATATATAGCGGTATAGAATTCGAAGGCAGAACGCCACGGCGGCGATATTTTTACTATCGCGAGAACCCTTATAACGGCCTTAAGTATCTAATAGGATATATAGCCAGAACTAGTAGCTACTATAGTATATCTATATAACCTTATCCCTCGCAAGGACCTCTAGTAGAAAATCCCTTAAGGGAAGATAGAGGATTAGATTAATAAATAAGGCCTAAAGAAAATCCTAATAAAGTCTATTATTAACCATCTAAAAAGGTATAGATATACAGCCTATCCACTAACTGCTAACTACTAATAAGGTCGTAACCGTAATGCTACGTTAGCCGAAAGAGTATATATCGGGTGTTTAATCGGCTATAAAAGCCCTAATATATACCGGATTTAGGTGCTAAAATTAAGGAGGATTCTACGTATAAGAGACGTTACCTTTAACGAACAACTCTTATATAAAGATCGCGATACAGAGCCGCCGGTTACTAAAAAGGTCTTCGAGTAATTAAACCCGCCGGTAGAGTATTAACTCCACGATCCTCTCGCTATTACTACTAACGTTACCGATCTTCTGCCTTAACCACTACTAGAGTAGAATACTATAAGGGAGGCTATAGCGGAGGCTGCCACTACTATTACTGCCACTACTACTACTAGTGCTTCTAGGGGGGTAGATAGAGGCGTAGGTTCGATAACTATTATAGAATCTGTAGAAGAATAATAATAGCAGGAATAGCAGAAGGCACCTAATTAAGAGGCAGGTAGAATAGGGTAAATAAGCCTCTATATCGCCTTCCACGCCTCCGGCGGCACCTGCTTTAACGTCTTCTATAATTACACTTATAATTACACTAATAGCACCTATTTTCTCTCCTCTAAGAACTATAAACGGCCCTTCTATAGTACTAACCGGAACTACGGATCTACTGCCTATTTTTAAACGGCCTAACGATACCGAATATCATTTTACTAATAATTCGGCTACGACCGGCGATACCGTTATGATAGGATTATTATCCCCTAACTAATCGGTTCTTAACGAGGAACTAACCACTACTACCGCCGTTAATCTGGTATCTATAGCTCCTGCTACGGCTAAGTCTTCTTACACCTCTTCTTCCACTACTATTACTAACTAACCTTTCTTTTCTACTAGTAGAAACAGCCGCCCTCCTACTATTCTAATAGCCACTTCCGAAAGGCCTACTTGTAGCAGGCGTCTAACCGACTATTATACCCCTCATTTCTTTTATACCTTCTATAACCAGATTGAGATACCGAAGAAGCCGCTACTACGCCGCGATATACCTAAGGAACCTCTAAACTAGTCTTAAATACTAAAGAGTCCCTATAAATTAGAATAGATTAAGGCCGCCTTATAAGAGGTCGGCACGCTTAGGTTAATAGACACCTTTAAACCGTGAGAATAGTCCTACTAGTAGGGCCACGGCTTAGGTTTATCTAAATCAGTTCTAAGGCTACTAGACCTTAAATAGGGTTTTAAGTATAAGGTCGATCCTACTAGTTATATTAATAAGTTTAAGGCACGCCTATACGTTCGAGGGGATTAATAACTAAATAACCACCTTAACGCCTACGCCTCCACCCTCGCTAAAAGGACCTTTAGGTCCCTGATAGGTATTATAGCCCACTTCGATGTCGAGCCTCGGTAAGTTAACGCCGTTAACGTATTCACTAATACCCTGCTTAATAAGGAAGTCTATATTAAGGACCCTGCTAGTTAGTAGTTACTCTAGTTAGCTACGGGCCTTAAAGCCGATAATTAACTTAAGGACCTTTTAAAGTAACGCCCTCCTATATAACGTCGAGGGATTTAAAGGCTACGCCGAGCATTATATGGCCTCCGTTATTCTCTAAAGCTGTAGCACTAATAACTCTCTTCCGTACTAGATAAATACGGTTTGAAGTAATTAACCGAAGACGATTACGTCTTTAAGAATAAGGTCCTGATTACTTTCTTTTACGTTCACGATATTATCCTAATTTACTGTAAGGAATATTAATCTACTACTAATAATCTAGTATAGCAGATATAGAAGAGCTTCTAAATCAGGGATCTAGGATTACTTAAGTAGTTCCTTAGAATCTGCGTAGGACGCGATCGTTAATAATGTAAGCTATAGTTATCGCTTAATAACTATAATACCGACAAGATAAAAGCGTTATAGGTGGATTATAGAGGTCGTAGGCTTTAAAGCCCTCGTTCTTATCCTAACGTTTTAGAACGATCTACTACCGACGAATAAGCCTCCGAAGAGTTAATCTATTTATATCTTCGGAAAGTCGGTTCTATTAACTACGCCGCCTATTAGACCCGGTCTAACGTCTCTAAAGCCGTTTTAAGGCTTACTGAAATTAGCACTAACCCTTTAAAATAGTATCACGAAGCTACCGATAGGTGCCTAAAGTATCTTAGCTCTATAAAGACCCTATGCCTCTACTTTGGACTACGTAAAGACTACTAAAAGCCTATACTCTTTTATACCTCCGACACCGCCTTCGGGGACGATCGTAAGACTAGATATAGCTTGTAAGGCTACACGGCCCTCTTATTTAGGAGTCCTATAAACTAAAAGGCTAATAAGTAAATAAGCGTTATAACCTCTAGTACTAAAGCTAAGCTTATAGTCTTTTCTGCTATTACTAGGCAGTATATCGCGATAAGGCGTTTAATAAAGGACCTAACGTTAACCTTTAAGGAGGAACCACTAATAGTATACTACGATACTTAATAAACTAAGTAACTACTAGAATCCCCTAGGCCTTAGGTTACCTCTAAATTAAAGTATCTTAATATCCACGCCCTTTAGATTCTATAAACCGTTTAAAAAGGGACTATCTTAATTAGTTAGATCGCTACTAACGATATAGTTAGCGATAGCCTTATAAAGGTACTGCCCCCGTAGAAATATAGGGCGTTTATATATGTGCTTAGTATAGAGGTCCCGGCTAAACAGGATTAAAGTAAATAACAGGGACGACGTCCTTCTATTACGTTTTAATTAAAGGAAAGCAGTTCATTAGACCGTTGTTTTAAGTGTTTTTATGCCTCTATAGATTCTTTTTTAGGTACTGTTTCTAACACTTTTTAACTTCTTTTTTGGCTTTAACGCCTATAACGCCGTGAATTAATATCTAGGCCCGATTTACCCTGGACTTTAAGCATTAATTCAACGAACAGAACAGTTAGGATTAATCCTACAGTTCTAGGGGGTGTGTCAGATACCACAGCCACCTTATTGGGGTATAATAAACTATATTATATCAGACGTGTAGAGTACCTCGCTCCTATATATCCACCCTTATTTCCCCTGCTTTTTCTGTATAGTTAGATATCCCTATAAAGTATCATAAACTTCACTTAGATAAATACACACATAATTCCGCGTACCTTATTTGTGTTCTGACAGTTATACTAATACAAAGCAATGGGATAAAATAAACGGATAGTTCGATAAACTAAACTAAACGCTTTAACTAATTCTATGATAAATAAAGATAAAACGAGTAAATATAATAATAGGAGGCGGACATTACAAGTAGAATAGCTCTAGCTATATTAGACTCGAGACTTCAAAATATAATATCTGTCTTAAAGGTATTATATTAATCGGAATAAAGTCGTTTTACTAGAGCGCCGGGGTTTTGTCGTCAATATATATATACAGTCCTAAAGCTATAGCACGAGTCTATTAAGGAGACTAAGTCTATAACGAGTATCTAGTTATTTATATTACCTATTTATAAAGGTAAAGAACAGGCGAACCAGTATTCTTAGTCCGGAACTTATCCTATATAGTAGTACGCACTCCCCGGAGTTCCCTAGGCTCTTGGACTTAATCGCAGGCATATATATATATATACGATTAATTACGCGTAGTAGGGTATATACCCTCCCCCCCTTAAAAAGGGTACGTACTAGAGGCAGCGTGGTTCTACTTATTAGCGTGTAAGCTGATAAATATCTCCCTGAACGTGCGGGGACCTATATAACGTGTAGGAGCTCCGGGTACGTCGTGCGCGACTTAAAAAGTTCGCGCGCGATTAAGGGGAGTAGGATTCGAACCCACTGCCTTACGCGGCCACTAGGTGTGTCTACTATATACGCTATGCCCCTAGCGCCGGGCTTATAACTATTAGAATATAAAGAAAGGTATAGAATTATATATATATTTATATAAGTAAAGATCATAGTACTTTACGGGATATCTAAGTATAAGAAAAAGCTAGAGAAAATAAGTATAGAATATAGGAATAAGGTAACTATTAGTATCTAATATTATCTATATATAATAGAACTTAATAGAGAGACCTTATGTTCTAATATTAAGACCTTATATGTAATATTTTAGTAGGGCTATAAAATCGCCGCCACGATATATATATAGCGTATATATTTATATATATATATATATATATATATTATATCGAGAATTATAGGTAATATAGTTACTAACTTAATCTTAACACTTAAACTTATTATTCAAATCTTAATACTTAGCTTAGAGCCGTAGGGATAATACGTTATTTTGTATATCATTTTATATAGTATATTATAGCTTATTATTATAGTGTTTTAGGCGGTTAGATTTGGAGTTATAGTATAGGAAGTAATATATTAAGGTTTACGCTATCGCCTGCGAATTCCTATATAAAGTATATATATCAAATAGGTGGGGTACATATACATCTTAGTAGCGTCATAGACCCACTAAAAGGTCACGTGTGAGGTCTCGATATTGAAACGTGAGGTCTCCCTGTTGAGTCCCTATGTAATTAACCTCATCGTCAGTTTACCGCTTGAGAGGTGTGTGCGACAAGGGCTACGGAGTACAGCGCCTGATGCACGGTCCATATGTAGGACCATTGAATCGTTGGTACTGATCCAAGCCCATATGGCATAGTTCGTACAGCCGACTATGTCCTTCACACGAAAGCACGTTGTAATCGGGACTCCGGTACGAGATGCTCAGCGACATCAGCAAAACCAGCCCATGGCCAGTGGCACCCGGCCATCGCCACTGGACGGGCGTCTGACCACATCAACAGGGACCCCTTCATTGGACCAGTACCTTGCTGGACATTTCGGGTTTCCGCTGGGGACTTCGCTACTAATAGCGGAATCGGGCACGACAGACTTCTCCGGGGTTTTGCTCAAATATTACGCAGCCGAGGGACTAGTACAGGGACACCATGTTCATCTCGTTGGACTAGACGAGTCCTGGCAAGCCGAGCTTCCCGGTCTGTCCCAGGATGCCAACATCAATGAACCAACCTCCGCACAGCTTCCCGGAGACAAGATGAAAATTGCCTGGAGGTATGAAGGACTGCGTGGGACCAGTAAAACAGATACCGGTGAGTTTGTTCTTGACGCGCCGCCAGTCGATACCTTTCGAGTCTTTAACAGCTAACCGTCTGAGAAGGAGAATTTCGAGACAATGTCCCGAGAGTCACCAGCCCAGGCGAAACGCCTTTCTGCCACCATTTCGACCTTAGCAGCAAGCTTGAGCCTCGGATGAGAAGGGGTCAGTTGCACTCCATTCCCTTAGACTCAGCTAGCCGGTCTTCCAGGCGGAAAACCCCGAATGTTCCTCCGCTATACAGTTTTATTGCGACCCTTGCAGATAGCATCGAAGCCTCTGAAAAAGGTTCGATACATCGCGTCATTATCACAAATTTCCTTTCCCCAACTCTGTACCCCCAGGCATATTGTAAGCCTTCAGAAGCTCTACGGTTCGTACATGGCCTGCGAGCTCTACTCCGTGAGTATTCGGGCCAATTATCCGCCATGTTATCTCTTTCCACATCACTGTACCCGACATCGACGGGGTTTATTAGGTGGATGGATATTCTGTGCGATGGTGTTTTGGAGGTGATACCAACACAGTCGCCCGTGCACTCGCAGCTCGTCATCGAGAAGCCGGATACGTCAGCTCAGGGTATCCTACGGGTCCATAAGTTACCTATACACAACGAGCGTGGAGGTGGTATAGAGGGTCAGGCGTGTCGGGAGAATCTATCCTTCAAGTTAAGTCCCTCAAGTGGACTAACTATCAAACCATTCAGTCTCCCTCCGGTTCATAATACGGAGACGCTTCTAGGAGATATAAAAGATAGTACTGTATTATTCTAAGAGGGGGTTATATAGCAGATCTTTACGGCATAGAAGGATTAGTGTATCGTATCTGGCGTCAAAGCAAGTATTCCGCAAGACCTAAATAAATCCACGCTGCGACTAATGATTTTGTTAGTATATAAATAATATATGGAAAAAGTGTATATATATATATATACGGTATTACTCGGAGGGTCCCGGTATTATAATACCTATTATTATTATTAGTCGTTTTACCTATTAGATAACCTATTAGATACCTTAGCTACTATTAGTATACAAATAAGGTATGTAAAAGATATATATATATATATTAAAGAAGAGTAAAAGATACTCTGCGGAAATATCTAACTATAGGGTAAAAGGAGGGGAAATCGATGTGGATATATCGGTCGGAAGTACCCTATCCGTGTAGCGAAATGGCGTAAGTCATACCCCGATAAGGTGGCTGTAGGTAACTAATACCCCCCCTAGAACTACAGGATATCAGATAAGGCGTAGTCGAAATCGTCACAAAATATATTAAAATTAATTAAGGCCATTATGTATAATTATAACTGTATTAGACAGTCAGGGAAACGCTACTACCGTATTTTATATAGTATAGATTCTATAAGCGTCTACTCGGATTATACTCTTAGTAATCGGGCCCCTTACGTAACCGAAAAGACTATAGTCTATTTAACATACCCCCTAATCGCCCTAAAGGTTAGTTAGGCGATTAAAGGTATTCGTAACCGGCAGATATAATAGGTATATAACCTATATAATCTCTTCGCTATAGCCGCCCTTAAATTCATCCTCTAGGTCCTCTAAATACTCTATCCGGACTTCCTTTAGCTATTTTTACTAGAGCCGTTCCCGTATATCTATTACTCCTACTTAGGACCTAAATATCATAAACTTCTCGCCGTATAACACCTTCGTTAATCCGTCTACCACTATTTCCCCGCTTATACTATACGTTACGAGTATTTACCCTTATTCCTTTAGTTAACGTAACTAATAGCCGTGGATATCGATATAGCTAAGGCGCGTCATTAACGTGCTAATCTCTTAATTAACTAATCGCACTATTTAGTTATTATCGTATAGGATCCTTTATTCCAGATGGTTAAATTCCACTTCTATACCTAGTAATAGGCGTTACATAAAGATATCCTTTTTTATACCTTATACTAACGCTAATAGCTCTGCTTCCATTATTAACGTTATAACCGTATCCTGCTTATTAGCACGCTACGCGACTATACCGCTAAATAAGCGTATCATATACGCTTAACTGCTTTTACGATTAAGGGTATTATCGGTAAATACGGCGTTAGTGTAGATTTCGATAGTATCGCCACCCCCTAGTTCTAACGTAAACGATTAGCTGTTAATTAGATAAAGGATTAGATAATCGGCGGCCTTATAGTGTATAGGACCTGGATTAACGTTAAAGCGGTATAGCCTTAATACGATAAAAGCGATATCTAGCCGCGATATCACTATTACATATAGCACTAATCCCATCTTCCGTTGAAAGCTTTTCACGTTAGTCAAGGTCCCTAAATAGGGTAGTAGTTCTATACCCTTAACTAAGTACGTTAGGCGATAGTTACTACTATACTTATTATTCAGCTTTAATAGGTATTAAGCCTTAGCCACGTAGTCGCGTTATAATAGCTAGATTTTACGGGCGGCACGGTCGCGAATAACCTTAATACTGAGGAACTATTATAGAGGATCGCTACCTTATAGGTTATAATAGTATTATAGGTTATTAATAGCCTACTCTATGTATACCTTATATTATTCCTTATAAGTAATAACGATATCGTTAACGTAGAGAAACACGATTAAACCATAACGCAGAAAATAGTACGGTTCCTACGGTATTATCTAAAGACTATCTGCTAAAATAATAGCCGAAAAGTGTTTTTACTATAGTAATAGGGACTTCTTAAGCCTATATAACGCCGTTTTCAGGTATAAACGGCTCTTAGAGGCTAGAAAACCTGGCGGCGGGTATAAAAAGATATTTTAAGGGAGAGACGCGTAGATAAACGCGCTTATAACGTCGAATTATAATAGTGTAAGGTTAAAACGGGCTATAATAGCTATTAACGCGCGGAATAACTATCCGGCTAAACTTACTATATATATCTCCTCAAGCGAGGATTAATACTACTAATCTTCTTATACTATAAGCCTTACCTTATATTTATATAGAAATCTATACTTATCGAACTTTTGTATTATTACCTATATTAAATTAAGAACCTAATATCTATCTGCTATAGACGCCGGTACCCGTATCTACAACTCTATCTCCTTATAGCTTTATAGGTAGTCTTCTTATACCTATCGGAATAGGTGGCCGTAAGGGTATAAAGGGTATATCGCGAGGGTTTTTCGGAGGAGGAGCGAGGTCTTTATAGTAGATCTTTAGAGCCGCCGGAGTAACCACCGGAGTAGCTGTGGATATTATATTTCCCGAGGCTACTGCTAGGGCCGTGAATTCGCTAGGTACTATTAAACGTCGTTATAGCGTTATAGGCGTAGTCTTTTTTAACCGTAGTTTAGTTAGCGGAGTCCTATTTAATATATATATATCCGGGGCGTAATAGCTAGCGTTAAACGCTACTACTTAATAGTCTTTTTTCTAGCTATCGCCCTACCGGTTAGGGCGCGCTCCTCTATCTATAAAGGGCCCTATAGCCGTTATTATAAGGATATGGCGGTATCGTGTTCCTCTATCTACGAGAAAGCCTATAGCTATAGGTGCTTCACGATAATTACCTAAGATCACGGCTACTATTAGCTCTATAACCGATAACGGGTTTATTAGTGGAGTAGGAAGCTATGGATTTATAGGCTGCTATAGACAGGGATTAAGCATTATACTAGCTAAATTATATAGTTTATAACCTAAATCTTATCCTCCTAGACTTAAGATAGCCTCCTCTACCCCTTTACCACCGGGGATTACGGACTATAACCTTAACGGTAACTCTGTTAAGGAAGGGGATCCGGGGCGAACTAGCCCGGGCAAAGAGTTAAGCTTAAAATAAGTAATTATATAAAAGGGGGGGTCCTTAGCTTATACGTCCGGGAATAGCTATAAATCTCTAGCCTCTCATACTTAATCTAACTAATTACGTCTTTTAATTACTCCTTGGATAATTAACGGAGGTTATTCTTAAAGGTAGCGATATCGCTATTAAAAAAGACGCGTTTATTGTTATTATTATTATTATTATTATTCTTACTCCGCTATTCTATCTAATCTATAAGAGCCTAGTTTAGACTATACGGTCCTTGTCGGGTGGCTATAGGGGGGAAAACCCGGGATCTTTAGGAAAACCTCTATCCTTATTCTTAGTTAGAGTAGTGCCGCTACGGGGCCGATATAGCCCCGGTTCGCCCCGTCTATATATCTAGATCGTACCTTTAGACTAGTGGCTAATAGGAAGGGTAGTAGGCTATAGTTCGGGTTAGCCTACGCCGGTTATTAGTAAGAGGGCGGGGGCTAAAAGGGTACCGCGGCGTCTCGGCCGTGTAGCGGCCGCGGTATACTAACTACGGCCTCCCTATATTCCCGGGGGCCGTGCCTATTATTCGTTCTATTTAGTTAATAAAGACAAGGCGAGGTAGGTGTTCCTGCCTCCCTTAGTAGGGGGGGGAGGGGGGTGCCTTCTATATCCGGCAGTAGGTAGGAAGGGTAGGGCTCCGCTTATACCCTAAGAATAGTAGATAGATAATAGAAATTAAGGTCCTTTTCCTTTTCCTCTTTTCCTTTCTATAACGCTATAGATTATATTATAGGTATCCCTTATTACGTTCCCGCTTACGGCCTTAAAGGCCTGCCGTTACAGTATTATACTAAATAGTAGTATCTTCTAGTTTTTCTATTCTTAATTTATCATTTCCCGATTAATCTAGTATATAGTGGTTTATAGGTGGCGCTATAGTGGTGTAGGGTTAACTAGGTAGTATAATAGTAGTAGTAATAATAATTATAATATTAACCGTAAATAAAGTTATAATATAAGTATCTCTATATCGTGGCAGCGCTATAGTAGTAGTATACTAATAGCCGTAGATACCTCCTTTTAGTAATAATAATTATTATAAGTAAGGTACTATTCGGGTTATACCATATATATACCCTAGTAATACCGATATAGTATTATAGCGGCTAACTTATAGTAGTTATCTCCGTTATAGTAAGTGTTTAGGTAGCTACCCTAATAACGTTTCCGCTTATACTAATACTACCACAATAAGCGCCGCGTGCTTTGAGTACGCTGATAGTTAATATCCCTATAAGGATATAAGCTATCCCTATATAGTAGTAGTATTACCGGTATATCGAGGTAATCTAACTAGTTAATAGGTTCCCCCCGCTATAAAAAAGCAGTAATAACGTCTTATACACGTTTATAGTCCTTATCTATTAGTAAAGGCTATTAGTAATAATAGTATCGCTACGGTAAGTAGCCTCCATTTAATATCGCGGTAGCGCTATACTAATAACCTATTAGGCTAAGGAGTGCCTAAAGATAGCGGCTTTATACTTTAGACGGGCTATCTCCCGGGCGCTGCCTTCGGGTCACGGCTATAGCGGTACTTTATTAGTAAAGGCGCTCCTGTATAATATCCTCCGCCGAACTCGCCGTATAGAGGGTATAGTGGGTGTCCTGATAGATAACTACGTGCGTAGTCCCCTTTCGGTTTCGCTATAGCGCCCCCGTGGTAGTAGTATAGCTAACCAGTTTTAGGACCTTAAGTATATTAAGAGTAGTATTAGCGGCTTTAAGGGGAGTAAGGAGAAAACTAGCGAGGAGTAAAAAAGGGGGGGGCTTTAGCCCGATAACGCTTTAATACCGCCGGGGTCCCGGCTAGTAGGGCCTTATTTAATACTAACTAGACCGTTATATCACCTTTTTCCCGTTACGGTACCGCCTTGTTCTCGTAGGCTTCTATAACTTTAAAGGTAAGGTAAAAGTCCTTAAGCCTTTTCCGTTATAGGAACTACTTAGCTATCGCCCCGGCTTTTATATTCTAGTCTAGTACGTTATATAGATTTCCTTTAGTCGTGAGTAGTCTCTCCACGGCACCGACGAGCTCCTTA